TCTGACATACAAGTCAAAAAAAATTTTCTTTTTAAAATACAATTTGACCCTGAAAAAGTGAATCCAGGATTATGTCACTGTTGCCCACTATTTTATGTCACAGATATTTCTTTTTTTCAAAAAAACCCCAAGGAAATTCTTCTACTTTGTTTCTCTCTCTGCTATTTTGTATTTCTGCAGTGCTGAACACATAGCCTGACATTCTTTCCCAAGCATTGTCATCAGTAAGAACAGGGCTACCAAGAACTTCCCGTTTTCCCTAATACCTGTTCTGCTTCATTGTTTGATGGGGTTTGCACCAAGGTAACTGCCTCAAATGAGCAACTCTTGTTCATTGTCTGGGCTATGTTGGTTTGACCAAAGTAAGAGTACTGATATTTACTATTGTAAATCGATATCTACTATTTGCTAACAACAATTAATTTGATAACTACTACTTCTCCAAAGAGTCCAGGAGGTCAGATTCAGAACACGGACAGAGGAGAGCCTTTGAAGTAAGTACCATTTAGAGTTACTTTTTTTCAGAATAGCAATAAACTCATATGTTTATTTCATGAAGTACAACTTCCACCACCAAAAAAACATCCCCAAAACAAAGTACCCCCCGCAACTAAACCAACCAAACAAAATCCCCTAAGATATCTAAAGGAAAAAACCCAGAAGGTAAGACACTTGGTTGAAAATTCAGCTACATGTAAGACCATAAAAATGTTACCATTTACCACAAAGGATCTTCTACCTGTCAATCTACTAGGATGAACGAGCATCTGTTGTAACTGGTAAAATAGAGGAGAATTAAATCTGGAAAAAATGGCAGAATAAACTGGTTCACATACCTTTTTCAGGACTATCCACATAATTCTTTTCATCATTTTGGGTGAGTGTATGTTTAGATCTCATCATGATAAAATTGTTCAGATCAGAATCATCATTGTTCCATTTTGCACCAAGCGCAAGCAATGCAGGCTTTGGACTACAGGATGAGTTGTCTAATTCAGAGGACACATCTTTACAGCTGACTGATTCAGATGATTTAGGGGTTTTCTTTTCTTGGTTTAAGAACCCAATTGCCTCTTCTACCTTAAGTTTTCTTATGCTTCCTCCAGTCAGCTCTTCCACAGATGTGTTTGGACTGTGAATTTTGGCAGATGATGCACCACTCACAGGCAGGGTAAAGTGCTGCCCTTGAGCCTGCAGTGACAGGTCAGGACTAATTCCTTTGTCCAACTGATGTCTCTGAGCAGAAAGCAGCTCTTCCTCTGTCATGAAATTAGTATCTTCAAGCCACCCTGAAAAATAAAGTTGAATTTCTTTGCTGCAACAAAACAGCAACCTCTCATGGCTGGAGTTAATGACTTTGGATTGTTTAGAGAAAGCAGTTTTTTAAACTTCTTTCTGCCTTCTCAGATCATTAGAATCCACTTTTAGAAAACTTGCACTGACTAGTCCTAAGCAAGTTAGATTTCTAGGAAGTGGAATGAAACACATTTCATTAGGAAGAAAAAGTAACAGGTTACTTTATTTTTTTTTAATCTGTTTTTTTAAGCGGGGAAAAAAGAGGTAAAGAATGTAATTGCTTCCTCTAAAGACGTGCCTCACTAGAACTGCAGGTGTTTGCACTGTGGCTGCACATCCATCTGAAGCACAATAGCTAAATACTATGCAAAATGAAGTTAATTAGAAATGGTATTTCATGAGCAGTGTCTATTTGTTTCACAATATATCATGTTATTGTCAGTCTTTGGAGTTCTACAACCACAACTGATGCCTTGCAGTCAAGCCATAGTTATATAACAAAACCCAAATAACTTCTCATTTTCTGTGAAGTTTGATTGTAAGTGTGCAAAATGGTCCATGAGAAATTCTGAAGTTAAGATCTGCTTAATTTTAAAACCATGGTCAGCATGAAACACCTCTATAGCATCACAAAATAAAGATTTTTCGCGGTAACTTACTCCCCTCACTGACCTTCTGCAGATAGGACTATGTGAATATCTGGTTTATTAAAATACTTCAATGCAAAACTACCATTTATTAAGAAATTCTTCCGAATGAAACTATTCTATTAAGAAACAGTACGGCTGATGGAGGCTACTCTTCATCTGCATGGCAATAGAAAAGATAACTTTGTGTAGTTAAAGGCGCTTGTTCTAAGCCCATGAAAGTACACCTTAACTTCAGTGGTGTTGCTCTGCATTTAGCTGTAAAACCTTTTGTTCTTAAGCGTAAGAAATATTTCTTTTCCTTTGTTCTTCAAAATACGTAAATGTCACTGTGTGCCTCTCTGTTAAAGTACCTATCTTTGCCTTTTAACAACTTTTTTAAAACAAAGATACTTACTTTCTAACTGGTATGATGCAAATTGAGTGAATGTTTCTACTTCTGTTGGAAGCAAACTGTTTGCATTACTGTCATCCATATTTAATTGCTCCAAAATTTCTATGGCTGCTGTATTTAAACCCAAGTGAAGCCACCAGGCCTCCTCTAATGAGCTAAACATTGATGCTTCTGCCTCAGTTGGTAGCATTTCCTGCAGATCTGTCAGTGAATGATGCTGATACACAAGATTAACAGCCTGGTGTTCTATAATAAAACCAGAAATGCACATATAATAATATAGAAACATGAAAGCAGAATGACATTTTGGAAAATGAAAGCTTCCAAGAACTGATGACCTACTACATATATCCATTGTTTATACTTCCATTTGTAATTCAGTGTCCATTAACAGATGTAAGAGCAAAGCAGTGAGCATGATCAGAGCAAGTGTGGTTTTTAATTACTGAGTCTATGAGTAAAGAGAGGTGGGGGCTAAATTTTTTCAGATCGAATAATGTGTAGCTGCAATACTAAAGTTACAAATTATCTTGTTCATTATCTGTGGGTTTATCTGTCATGTTTACAAAGACTTAGCATAACCCTTACCTGATTAAAACCCTAACTTAAATAGTAATGAGTATACCAGACATTGTTCTCAACTATAAATCAATGTACAAACGAATTGGACAACATAACAAGTAATATGCATAACTTAATCCCGAGGCTTGCAAAATGAAGGCAAATAAAATAAAATGAAAGAACAGTGGTAACACATATTCTGCTGCTGTCATAAATAGCCTGCAGTTTATTCTGAGTTTGTGTATTTTGCTTCCTAACACAAACTCCGCTCTTGTGAAGTTAAAACATCATTTTCCATTAACGCTACTTTTCTATTGATTGATACATATTTTGAAACATTATTTAAGGGAAAATGGCACACACACAAGAGATCAACAGATTACCAAATTTCAGTCCCTACCATTATTGTACATAATTAGTATTAGTGAGCTGAACAGTGTCATAATAAAACAAACCCCTTAGTTCATTCAAATTACCGCCACAGAAGGATACATGACATACCAGCCTCCATGCTGCCATACTGTAATCTTTTAAACGTACTCATATAGTCCAGAATTCAGAGGGTCCAATTAATTAGATAAATGTCAATGGCTCAAAATATGTGCTCTGTAATATAACATTGCCTTTTCTGCTATATTTCTCCATGTACATGAAACTTGGCAACATCAGTTAGAAATCAATCATCAATCAGAAATCCTTACCGACAAGCAAAAGAGAGTTCATATTATCCCGGTACTTCTCTGACTGCCATACCAAAGACTCTAAGTATTCCCTAGAGGGCTCTGTAATCAAAATACTATGAAGAACATAAAAAAAGACTTGGAGGTATGAATTTTGATTTATATAAAACCATGTTTTAAAGATATACTTTGTTTTTAAATTTTCAGTTCATTCATTCGTTCTCGCATTCATTAAAAGTTTTTTCTTATCCCTATAGACGGTCAGTTCATGCAACACTGTGGTCAACAGGGAAGAGTGAGAGGAGTCATCAAGGCTTCAAGTCATCAAGAATTCTGTCTAGACTGTGGTTCCCTCCCCAGAGGGATATTTAAATGCTTTGTGCATATGTGAGAAAGATAGCAAGGCAAAAAATACCAGTCGTAAAAACAAGATGAGAAGGAAAAGATGAGGCAATCCTAATCCTATGTCAGCATGAAAAGGCCTGAAATCCATTGTTGGAGGATAGCGCCAAAACACAGACAATACTTTCTTGTATCTCTGCTGGAGATTTTGTAGGTGATAGCTGTGCAACATTTGTGTTTGCCATATGTGTAAATATATATACACACACATATACATACTTGCTAAATACAAAAATATTTACAGTGGCTAGTCCAAAAATGTGACTGGAATGTCAGGCCTTTAAATGCCCTGGGAGACAGAGGTCTACAGAAGCAACTGTCATTTCCTTTCTAAGACTACCCTGGAAAGCCACAGACATGGACCATGCACTCCATCACTCTTTCACACAAAACACAGTATATATGCAGCTCAAAGAATATAAGTACCAAATCATAAATAGACTACAGCCATTTTTTCAATAATTTTGAGGGATTTGTGATTTAGAGGATTTATGACAGAATTTGCCCCTACCAAGTTGTCATTACCTGTTACTAGGGAGAGAAATAGTTTCTTCTCGAAGTCCTCTGCACAGAAAATTAACCCATGATCTTTGTTGTCTGCATGGAGGAGTTAAAGGCACTTCCATTTCATCTTTCAAATATGGAATATATTCAGCTAGAAATTGCATAAAACCCCAGCCAAAACAAAAATAAAAAAATCAAGATGACAAAGCTACTTGTGAATGAAATACACATGCTTACGAGTTTCACACTGGTGAAGTTTTGGATTAAAATACACAACATTTTCATGTGACGATCCACTATTTCAGCTATATACTCCAAATGCTTCATATCTAATTTCCAGAATTTGGGGATAACAATGTGTAGATCACATTTCTTTAACTCTTTTAAAATGTACTTCTGGCTATATACTCTTCACAGGTATGATAATTTTTGTAATTAAATCATCAGGTACCATGGCTGAGGTTTTGATATTAAGGATTCATGCCTGTTGGCCTCCTTAGATAATTCCCCCATGAGTTAAGTTAATGAGATGTGAGAGAGACTTCAGACAATTTTGTGGTGGCTGTAAGATTCAGATGAATGGACTCAGAAACTTCAGAAACAGTCAGGATTTTAAAGACAAAATTACTCTGTCAAGCAGAATTATTATTCATTGAAATTTCTAGGGACGACCACTGAAATGAATTATAACACCAGAGTTTTTCTAAAGCACCATCCAAACACACCTGGCATGTTAAAAAGTCCCCTGCAAGTCACTTCTAAAATTTTTTTCCCCAATCACATTGAATGTGCACATATTCATGGATTATTGGGTTTTATTCAAGTCTAGTCAGAAATCTACACCTTTACTGATTTGGTGGTTTACATGACTGCCCTGGTATTCATCTCTCTGGCATTCTTCTAACCAGAAAGTAGAGGTCACAAAAAACAGAGTTGTTCCATGTTCTGTGAAAACTAAGCCAGAAAACCCGTAAGTAAATCAGTGCCTCTATAAGGAAAAACACTTGTAACAAATTCCCTATTCATCCTAACAGGCAGTAAGCAGATGCAACCATCATACACACATTGTTTGGCCAATTGGCACACAGCAGGCTCTGAATCAGTCACCTGTTCAACTGCTTGCAGCTGCTCCTTGAACAGCCTAACAAGCTGATTGTACAGCAGGAAGGGCAGGAAGGATAAGGGACAGGGTGAGAAAGCCAGAGACCATCCACAAAAGCCAAAAAATGGGGCAAGAAATAAAAGTGGATACCAAAGAAAGCAACATACTTCTAATCAGTAAAACTTCTTTCCCAACTACATAGAACAGAAAAACCTCAGTGAAGTTCTGAGTGTGAACATCAGCTCACGAACTGGTTTTTGTTGGGAGAAATATTTTTAGCATTTTTGTTTGAAAAGGACAGGAGCTGATCTCAGGTCAGCAAAAATACCTGCCACATCTAAAAAGAACAATTCTTCCTCTTTGAGCAAGACTGTTTATATTTGTTCTTGTATAGTTCTTTTTGCCTTTTAGACTGGAATATTTTGATCAGCTACATTTGTTAAACTCTGCCTACACTCAGGGTGACATTCCCTAATGACTGAGTGAACTCTCCTGTCTCTTAACCTCTTCATCTTGCTATGTCAAGCAAGAGAGAAAGGCAAACAATGAAATGTTTATGGAAAATGCCATTATTTTACGACTCTGAGTTCAAGCAAATATATTTTGCTTCTGCTAACTCAGAAACAGCAAAATTAATAAGAAGGAGAAGACTGTTGGGTATCTCAGTAGAAATTTGACACCCGATATAGGCACTTCCATTAGCAAACAACATCTTAGCACTGCATGCCCAGGTTTGTACGACTCTATCCTATAGATGTGAGTCTATCCAAAAAAAGAAACCACAAGCAGATATTGTGCCCCAACAACTTGATTTTGCTCGATGCAGTGGCAGAGCTAAGACAGGAAGCTGGTAGTAGAGATTAATGCAGTCACTTGCTTTAAAAAACAATTCAAGATGGTTTGACTACACATCTACTCCAGAAGAATGGACAAGATCCTAAAGAAGATCACAGTCAACCTGTTATTACCATATACAGGAGGAGAGGCTCTCTTAGCCAACATTTAGCTGTGAATACAGCAGAGCCGGCAAAGAGCATACATTACTTTTAAAGGTTCAACCTGGAACCTGAAGAAATTGTAATAAAGGGTGGATAACTAGGCTGAGCAGTCAGACACCAAAGCTGTTCAGCACTGGTATGCATTGTAAACACCATGACTTGAGTTTTCAAGCTATTAAAGGTGGACACATACAAAGGATTTTCTGATGCCAGCGTAGGAGAAGTAACGATGCAATGCATCCTCACTTCTGCAATGAGGATGTTAGCAAAGATTCAAGACTTTCAGTTTATTTCTGTGGAAAACACCTGTGGTCACTATACGACTTAACTTCTTGATCACACATGATTACTGAACTATTTGCAAGCCAAAATGTCTGCACAGGAAGTTTGAACCCCTGGAAGTTATAAGTTCAGTCCTTCTTTGAGTCCTCCATCACCCTCTTTTGAAAGCACTTATGTAAGACTTCAGCAAATTTTAATCTGTGCTCTTTGACTCCACAATTTTAATCAATCTGCCTTAACTTTCATCTCTGGGGAGGCAAGTTGCTAGATAAAAAAAAAAACCAAACTAAAAAGCTAATGAAGTGCAAAATTTGTGGACATCACTTGCAGCCAAAATACAACATGAAGGCTGTATTTAGACTACAAAGCCCTAGAAAGGATTATAGCACTTCTATCTCTTTATGGTGCAAGTAGAAAATAATAGATTACACAAAGCCAATGCTCTTATCTATGTGGTGCATACTTCCACAAAGAGAATATAGGAACAATCACTTGAAAAACTTATTTTAAATATCATCCCTTGATTCATACACATCTTCTTACCTGACTCACAGAATTCCAACATACTTGCACTATTACTGGAGCAAACCTCCTGTGGAACGGGACAGTGGAACTCGGAAATTTCTATTTTGCATGTAATTCCTGCTTTGAGATCTGAAAACAGATGTTAAAAGGTGCCACAAATTAACCACTTATTAATTTTTTTCTGTCAGAGCATTTTGTCTTTCAATCTTTTTACTGAACCTCTGAGTTACATTGTTATGAAAATTGCAGTCATCCTAGGTAACCCCCAAATGCTGTAGCTGATAAGAGCAATGTTCACTTAAGAAAACCAACCCTCACCTTCTCTGATGACTTCTTTGCACAGGTCTTCATCAGCAATAGTGTCTGGAGCTAAACCGAACAACTCTTTCAGTTCCAGGCACAATGGAATCTTAACAGAATCTGATCTGCTGTTGCTGTGTTTGCCAAATTCTAACTCAACAGGTAACATGAAATGCTGAAAAAAAATTAATCACAACAGAATGGTAAGTAAATTTCCTTTGATGTTATTGTACAGTCAAAGCTTTTCCAAAATCCTGAAATAACTTAATTCTAAACCAATTTAAGATCTTTTAGGAAAGACATCATATGACACACAGCATACACAAAGCTTTGCTCAGTACAGAGCGAAACACAGTGTTATGGAATTCAAATGGAGTCAGTGGAGTGTAAAAGTTTGGTTTCAGAATTTTGAAAAATGGAGCAAAAATTAGATTTGACTTTTTTTTATTTCCAAAAAAGAAGACAGGATGACTCCCTGAATCCTGGAACATGTCTTGGAGCTCTCCCTTTCCCAGGCGCAAGTTGTGGCTTCATGTCCCGGTTAATTTTTATTCTTCGTGTAACACCTACCTGCATAAAACTGCAACACATCAGGTACCAGGAGAAACAGCTGATCAGGGTGGAGATTCCTAACAACAGCTCCCAAGAATTAAAAAACCCACAAATAATTCCAGCATTTTCTAATCTTGGAAATATGAAGGCTCTAAATATTTGGCAAGTATGGAAAGAATTCAGTGAGATGAATTGCAGATGAACAAACACTTAACATAAAACAGCCACTAACATAATATAGTATGAAACAACAGGATAATACCTCTTCATCTTTTATAGATATGGTAGAGAAGTTCTCTTTAATCTCCTGCAATTCATTTTTACTCTCTTCCATCTTCATTTCACTTTGGAAAGTCAAACATTCTCTTTAAAAGACCATAAAAGAAAGTAAGTGACTTCTTTGTATTAGTTCCTGACTAAGACTGAAAGTCATAGCTCTGGTTTTGACAGACATACACATGGCAGAAGACATTTTTCTAAATCCGTGCCTTTTCTAAGCAAGCAATTCCAAGGGATGCTGTAGTGATCTGTGTAATTAAATTCAAATATTTTTCAAGAAATGATACATTATATGCAGAGCAGAACCACTTAATATTGGGACCTGCCTTAAAAAGTTACAGAAAAAACCCTCATAGTAAAATTGTTTGACATCTCTAAGTCCTCTCATGCAAAAATGCTTTCTGCAAAAGCTGCAGACCTTATTTTCTTTCAATGCCAGATTTTTTTTGCTATAATCTCAGCAACCTGTAAGATTGACCTTACTTCTCTTTTGTCACCTTTAGTTTCTATGTTCAGGAGTGATTCAGCACCGATGAAGGCAGAGTGTGCTTACAATTAATTAAAATAAAAACTAATAATATGTTTCCTGGTTTAACTGAGAAACTTCAAAAATGCTAAGAAGCAAAACTCAGGAGTGAGGCTACTACTTGCCTTGTAAAGCAAGGATATAAGCAGAACAGGGATGAAGATATCTCAAGCAGAAATAAAACTTTTCATCAGGTTTGCCTCCCATGGCCATTACAGGCACTAAATTTATAAGGACATTTTAGGGGGATAACTCCCTCATCGGTTCCTGCCACCACTGATTTCCTGCAGGAATACTTCAGACTGAAGAGTACAGATTGTTCCATGCCTGGCCTTGTGATGTTCACTGAATTTTAACTTAAATAGAAGTCTGTCTCATTGTATCCCTTTGTCTAAATGCACCTCTCTGTGTGCTACGTGAAGAGATTCAGATTTCCACCTTGGGCAGGCTTGTGGTTTTGCTAGTCAACCACAGAGCAGGAGGTGAGAGCTATTTCTGTAAAGGTTCACACTAGCATTTTTTTCCTCTGTTACTGGCAATTCTGAAAGTCATTGCAGAATTTGGATCATCCTATCTTCACTGGATATTTACCGTATGCACACATGCACACAGTCTTTCGTCCAAGACTCACTGCAAGACTAGGGGTCATGTTTCAAACAACAGGCAAACACCTCCACTCCCCCCTGCTCTGTTACTATATAGGTACATTTACAGCAGTTAAAATCTGCTTTACGTTGCTTGTGAACCATGCAACCTTATCAAGTGCAATGGGAAGTGATAGAAGTCATCTAGACATGAAGTAAATCAGCGCAAAATTTACCCAGACTTTATGATTGTATGCATACAATGGATATATTTACAAAATGCTAGTCGCATTATTAATGTAACTTATACCTCTTTTAATGTACCAGTTTGCTCAAATTCATGACATTAGACACAATACAGTCAAATTCAATCAAACACAGCAATATGAAAGTGTGCAAAAACATAAGAATAATCAATATTTGAGCCTGAAGAAATACAATTCAAAAGGATGAGGGCCTGGGTTTACTGACAGCACAACTGAGAGAAAGAAGGAACATGGAAGTATGTGTAAAATCCCGGCCCAGTTACATCTAGTGGCATTTTACTGACAGGAAATCAGTCAATTTGAGGGAGGACAAGATCCTTTAAAGATGTACATTTTTATGAGTATTCAAAAAATACAATCCTGAGTACATTTCACACTCAGAGAATGTAAAAATGACATAATTTCATTAATTCAGTTTTATTAAGGCATATCAATGTCATCCTACTCATTGTTTTCTTCCTAAGTGAGGTCTTTACCTGCTGCAAATATAAACTAGTCAGTAAGTTAACACATAACAGATGTTAAAACATTCATGGCATTATACAAAGACTTTTTTTATATTTTATATGAGCAGCAGTTTGTAGGTACCTGAAAATGCTCTCTTCTGTTAAAATCTGTCCTTTAGAATCCAGAAGGGGATCGTTCACTAAAAAGAACTGCAGTCTGCTCAGAAGCCTAGATAAACTTGGCAGGTTTTTACGAAAATTTTCAAGATTATCAATAAAAAGATATTCCTCCTCCAAACACAAATCTGAAAAATAGTAAGAAATAATACATTCTAAACCAAGATAAACATAGTAATAAATACCAGAATAAAGAGAATGTTTGAGCAACTTTTGGAATACTACAGATGTCAGCAAAACAATAACTACATTTTACTTTAAATGTTTTAGGAATTTTAAGCTTTAAATGCAACAAAGTCTAGACTTCCAATGGTTCACATGATAAGCTCTGGTTTTCTTTTTCTTTTGTCCTATATAATGCTTGTTAAAAAGAAAAGGTATTTTCTTTTCCTTCCCTTGTTTGCATTTTAAAGTATGATAAAGGAACTTCTGAGGTAGGTTCTAGCTGAGAAATTTAGTTCAGTGCAAAATGATTATTCCCTAATTCTTAAGAAAAAATTACAAAAATGTTACAAATTACTATGATTTACTATGAAAGGTGACATTATGGTACCAGTTCAGGCTGGGAGAGGCACAGATTGAGAGCAGCCCTGCCAAGAAGGACTTGGGGGTGCTGGTGGGTGAGAGGCTGGACACGGCCAGGCAATGTGCACCTGCAGCTCAGAAAGCCAACTGTGTCCTGGGCTGCATCCAAATCAGCAGGGTTAGCGAGGGGATTCTGCCCCTCTACTGTGCTCCTGTGGGGCCCCACCTCAAGTGCTGTGGCCAGCTCTGGGGTCCTCAGTAGAAAAAAGACAGGGACTGTTGGTTTTGGCACAAAAATTATTCCTACTAGGAAAGGCTGAGAGAATTAGGATGTTCCGCCTGGAGAAGAGGAGGCTCTGGGGAAACCTTACTGTAGCTTCTGAGTACTTAAAAGGGGCCAATTAGAAAAATGGGGACAGGCAGGAAGATGTTTCTTATGATGAGGGTGGTAAATACAGGAAAAAATTGTCCAAAGAGGTGGTCAACACCCCATCCCTGGTGGTGTTCAAGGTGAGGTTGGACAGGGCTCTGAGCAACCTGATCTAGTGAGGTGGTGTCCCTGCCCAGGGCAAGGGGTTGGGACTAGAGAGATGACCTTTAAAGGTCCCTTCCAGCCCAAGCCATTCTGTGATCACATGATTCTATGGACTTCTATTTCTTTTGAGTTTAAACTCCTACTCTCCTGAGACAGAACTAATGCAACCACAACTCTCTCTGAAGCAATCCCTTATATACACAATATAATATACACATACATCCACACTCACATTTTATACACATATAATATATATACATACATATACACATATA